CACAGAATGGGAGAAGATATTTGCAAATGACATATCAGATAAAGGGCTTGTATCCAAAATCTATAAAGAACTTATCAAACTCAACACCCAAGGAACAAATCATCCAATCAAGAAATGGGCAGAAGACATGAACAGACATTCCTGCAAAGATGACATCCAAATGGCCAACAGACATGAAAAAGTGCTCAACATCACTCGGCATCAGGGAAATCCAAATCAAAACCTCAATGAGATACCACCTCACACCAGTCAGAATGGCTAAAATTAACAAGTCAGAAAACGACAGATGTTGGCGAGGATGTGGAGAAAGGGGAACCCTCCTACACTGTTGGTGGGAATGCAAGCTGGTGCAGCCACTCTGGAAAACAGTATGGAGGTTCCTCAAAAAGTTGAAAATAGAGCTGCCCTACAACCCAGCAATGGCGCTACTGGGTATTTACCCCAAAGATATAAATGTAGTGATCCAAAGGGGCACATGCACTCCAATGTTTATAGCAGCAATGTCCACAATAGCCAAACTATGGAAAGAGCCCAAGTTGTCCATTGACACAGATGAATGGATAAAGAAGATGTGGTGTATATATATACAATGGAATATTATGGAGCCATCCAAAAAATGAAATCTTACCATTTGCAACAACATGGATGGAACTAGAGGGTATTATGCTAAGTGAAATAAGTCAATCAGAGAAAGACAAGTATTATATGATCTCACTGATATGAGGAATTTGAGAAACAAGGCAGAGGATCATAGGGGAAGGGAGGGAAAAATGAAACAGGAAGAAACCAGAGAGGGAGACAAACCATAAGAGACTCTTAAACTGAGGGTTGCTGGAGTGGAGGGGGTGGAGGGATGGGGTGGCGGGGTGATGGACACTGGGGAGGGTATGTGTTGTGGTGAGCGCTGTGTATTGTGTAAGACTGATGAATCACAGACCTGTATCCCTGAAACAGACATTATATGTTAATTAAAAAAAAGGAAGGGCGCCTGGGTGGCTCAGGTGGTTAAGCGTCTGCCTTCTGCTCAGGTCATGATCCCAGGGTCCTGGGGTTGAGTCCTGCTTCGGGCTCCCTGCTCAGTGGGAAGCCTGCTTCTCCCTCTCCTCCTGCCTGCCGCTCCCTCTGCTTGTGCTCTCTGTCAAATAAATAAATAAAAACTTAAAAAAAAAAAAAGTCACAAACCATTGCACTCCCTTAACTGATTAAATCCCTTTAAAAATCTCTGGGCCAGGCAGAAACCTCGGAGTTGGCTTTTGGACAAGAGTCTGCCTTCTCCCCAGGTGGCCGGCCGCCTGAATAAAGTTCATATCCCTTTCCAATCAACACTCGTCTCTTGAGTACGGGCCTTTCAGACAGTGGGCAGCCGAGCTTGGGTTCGGTAACATTACTTCTGTTCTCTAATCCTAAAACTCTTCTGTCACCATCTTTGCCTCAGTCAGGTAGGATTTTCTATAGCTTTGCTCATCCCTAGCTCTGTATACTTCCTCCAGTTTCTCTTCAAGTGCTAGCCAAGCTCCATGACAATGCCTTACCCTCCAATGGGGCTGTTCATTTCAACTCTAACGACCAACAAATATCTACGAGGCACAAACCTTATACAAAGACTGTATTCAGCCTGCATCTACCAGCCTGGAACCGACCAGGAAAGTCACACATTGTCTGTACCTCCATTTCTCTAGCTGTAAAATGGCCCACTGAAAGGCAGACCTTGTCATGTTCAACTTGGACCATGTCCAGTCAGCACATCTGAAAAAGGCTCATGGGGAAAAGGAACAGTTTCTTCGGTGATATTTTCCCTGGTCTGAGGGAACTTACAACGAAGCTGGAAAGACAGAAACACATCAGATGTTAAAGTGATTTGTGCATGGGGTGCCTGGGTGGCTCAGTTGGTTAGGCGTCTGCCTTCAGCTCAGGTCATGATCTCAGGGTCCTGGGATGGAGCCCCGCATCAGGCTCTCTGCTCAGCGGGGAGCCTGCTTCTCCCTCTCCCTCTGCCTGCCACTCCCCGCTTGTGCTCGTGAGCTCTGTCAAATAAGTAAATTAAATTAAAATTAAATTTAAAAAAATAAAGTGATTTGTGCAGAGGACTGATGGGAGAAATAGGAAACCTTAATCCCGGTCTACTGCCAATTCACTGTGTCACCATGGCAAAAGACACGATGTCTTAAGGCTTCATGCCTTAATTTGTAAAATGAGGGGGTTGGAGTGGATGACAATAATGATGACAGAAATGTATGGAGCACTTATATACCAGGCCCTATACTAAGCACTGAACAAGGATTAACACACTGAAATCTCACAATACTGCTGTGAGGTAGGGGCCACTATCCCCATTTTACAGATAATCCGTGATATCCTTTCAACTCCAATGGTCTAGAATTATGTGATTTCAAGTTAAGTAATAAGGTAAACTGTGTTTTCCAAAGGTGGCCACAACATTTCCCATCCCACATGCTCTTCTTAAAGTGGGACTGATACTCCTGCCTTTGAGAGGTGGGTCTATGTCCTTTCTCATTGATTTTGGGTGGGCATGTGACTGGAGAAAGCGATGTTATGTGACTTCTGAGGCTAGATCACAGAAGTCAGTCTAGTTGATACTGGTAGTTTCGTATTGCAGCACAACAGATTACCCACAAACTTAGTGGCTTATACCCACTAATTAGCTCAGTCCGTAGGTCAGAATTCTAGGCACAGCACGGCTGGGTTCTCTGCTCAGGGTCTCACAAGGATTAATTAAAGGGGTTGGCTGGACTGAGTTCTCAGACAGTCTAGGGGAAAATCCGCTTCCAAGCTCCCAGCATTGTTGGCAGAATTCAGTTCTTTGTGGTTGCAGGACTTGAGGTCTGCCTCTCCTTGCTGGCTGTCAGCCGGGGCTGCGCTCAGCTCCTAAAGGTTACCCAAATTCTTTGCTAACATGGCCACCTCCACCCTCAAAGCCAGCTGTAGATAATCTCCCTCACATCAAATCCCTCTCACACTTCAAATCTCTGACATCCTGTCTCTGGCTTCTAGAATGGACCCAGATTAAAATGGCTCAAGTGATTAGATCAGGCTCACGTGCAAAATCTCCCTATCTTAAGGTCAACTGATTTGGGACCTTACTTACACCTGCAAAATCCCTTTTGTCATATAATCATGGGAGTGAAATCTAATCATATTCATAGGTTCCACCCAACTCAAGGGGAGATATACCAGGGCAAGGATCACTGGGGGTAAAATTCTGCCTACCACATAGCTTCTATTTGATTTTCCTGTTACACTTATTTTTGGAGCTCGGCCTCCATACTGTGAGGAAGTATAAGCAGCTTGTGAAAAGGAACTGAGGCCTCCCGGCCAACAGTCCTAGCCGAGCTCCTAACCAACGAGTATTAACTTGCTAGCCATGTTAGTGAGCCACTTTGAAAGAGGATCTTCCAGCCCCAAACTGAGCTGCCTCAGCTGGTGATAAGGACAGCTACTGAGTCCCACCTAAGTTGCAAATTTGTGAATAAAATAAAGGACTGTTGTTGTAAGCCACTAACTTCTAGGGTAATTTATTACACAGCGACAGGTAATCAAAATGAAGTAACAACCCAAGTGAGATGATCTACAAGTACTGAAAGTTTTTGTGCGGACAGAAGTGGTAACTCACCTTTCTTTTAGGACACTGGAGCATCGAGCATCTGACAGTGTAGGCCTAAAATGTCTTTCAATTCATGGTTGCTGATTTATTAATCCAAACTTATACTGAACTAATTTACACTAGTATACCACTCATCCGTATTTGGAAGCCCAGCATTTTAAAAAAGTTATCTAAAAATCATGCTGTTTTCCTTCTGAGCAATGATTATACTATATATTTTAAGCTACATCTGTGAAATATTTGGGATGTAAATAAAGATAATGAATGTATTAATTTTAAAAGATACCATGGTCTTGTTTATAAATCACTAAAGTATTAGTATCTCAATGTATGAAAACTACTTTTCAATAGTTATTTTCAATTAGAAAAACAGAAAACACTTAGAAAATAATCATCAGTTTTGTCATTAATAATTTTCATCGATGGATATTAACTATTAGGTGAAAGACTGTTGGGAGTAGAACTTCCATACACTCTCAGAGAGGCTCCCCTTGGATTATTTGTTGATTAGAGGGGAGAAATCTGGCAGACAAATCCTTAAGCAAACAGTCAAACTTAAAAAAACCAAATAATCAAACTTAATATCACCAATGATGGAACAAAATGACATCATGTGCCTTCCACTGCAATGCACTAAGGACACACCATCCCATGTGTAGTATTCTTGACCCAAAATGTTTAGTCTAATTATGAGAAAACATATGAATCCAAATTAAGGATATTCTGAAAAACCACTGATTTGTACTCTTCAAAAATGTCAATGTCATGAAAGAAAAAACGCTGGGAACTCCTCTAGACTAAGGGAGATTAAAAGAGGTAACTAAATGTGAATCTTGACTGGATCTCCCCTCTCCAACAACAAAAAAACCCAGCCACAAAACCATAAAATTTAAGTATGCACTGCATATTAAATAGCACTGTACATAATGTTAAGTATCTGAGTGGTTTATTGTACTGTGGTTAAGTAGGACAATGTCCTTGTTGAGAGCCAGATGCGGAAATGTTCATGGGTGAGATGTCACTATATCTGCAACACTCAGGCGAATTGTGTAAGGACTAAAATTGTGTACCTGGTTGAAGGATTTTGTATCAACATCCAGTCAACACTGCCCACGGACTTGGCAGAACAGGCAAATTTTCCCTTTGGATAGTTGAGGAGAAGCACACAGCTGGACACTCACCTCCCTGGGTGGCGCGTGGAGCCCTGAGAGTTATACGGTGGTCACAGCCCAATGGCGAGCGAAGGATGAGGCTGTGGTCTCACCCTTGCTAGAGAAACAGACATGCACGCACACACGAGAGCATTCATGCTCTGCACACTTTACGGCTATACTGCTCGGGGGTGAGGGTGAAGCCACGCCCCTTGCCCCCAAAGGCGTCCTTGACAGCGGCACGTGCCTGTCCGACGCACTTTACGGCAGTCACGCAAAGCCACTGCGGGGGCGTGGCTATACCTCCCGCGCCCACAGGCACGCACGACAGCCGCACGTGCTGTGTGGAGCACTTTCTGGCAGCCACGCGAAGGCGCGAGGTCATAGGCCCACGCTGCGCGGGGTAAGCTCTGCGTCCTACGTCATTATGGGCTGGCTGTTTATTTCGTTGGTGCTCTCACGGCTCGGCCATCATGGCGATGGTGGTGGCACTGTGGCGGAGGGCGAGGGACTACCTGAAGACCAAGGAGTTCCGGGAATACGTGACCAGCACGCACTTCTGGGGTCCCGTGGTCAACTGCGGCTTACCGGCGGCTGCCTTTAAGGACATGAACGAACCGCCTGACATCATCAGTGGCCGTATGACAACAGCGTTCCTCTTCTACTCGATGGCCTTCATGCGTTTCGCCTATCGTGTACAGCCTCGAAACTTGCTGCTGTTGGCGTGCCACAGCACCAACGTGGTGGCGCAGAGTGTGCAGCTGACCCGCTACCTGGATCACCACTACGGCGGGGGCGCCGCGCCGGCGACAGCTACCACCGCCGCCACCACCACTGCTGCCACCACCGGTCCCACCAGCGATCCTGTGGCTGTTTGCGACTTTAAGGATGACGACTCCTGCTAAGCAGCCGCCTGCCCCAACCCGTGGTCCCCGAAACGTGGCTGAGAGGGCCCGATCGCATCTTTGCAGCTTACAAGCACTGAACTGTTCTCCCTGAAGAAGAGACCAGGGAAGTTTGGTTTTGACTCTAATAAAACAGTGCGGAGTCTGATTGAAACTTGCAGTTTGGTTAGTAAAAAATAGAAAATAGCACAGAACGCAAAGTGTTTAGTGTTGTTTATTTTGTGATCTGGAAATAAAATGTTCTTTAGGTGAGGGTAGATTTGCTGGTCTTCCTCTTCATGGGACCCTCACCTCGAGGGTTAGTTTTTTACAGGGGGAGGAAAACTGAATGAAAAGTGTTCCTGAGATGGTGTTTTGTTCCTCGTTTTGTGTGTCCAGGCCAAATAACGCTGCTCGGTAGCATAAATGATTTTTAAAACTTGGTACAGGCATTAATCTCTACGGCAAAAATAAGTCGGGGGTTACTGCTATTGAGGGAAATACTTCGAAGTGGGTTTAAATGAATTCAGTGAAAAACCAATTTAGGCTTTTAAAAAGTACTTATTAAGAGAACCTAGAATCTCTTGGTGATTGGACAGGAATTATAGAATCTACCATGGAAACAGGATAAATAACTCTGAGGTTAGTTGCTGTCAACCCTGGATTCTAGGTAAACTGAAAATAAGAATGACAAAATCACAATCCTTTCCTCTTCATGCCTAAAAATTTGGGAAATGGCAGTTGGTAAAACTGGTAAGCCTATTGCCCTGTGTTGAATGCTAGCTAGGGTTGGGGGTGAGGGTCAGTGGTCAACGGTAATTAGCCCACAGTGTCCCCCTAGGAAACCTATGGGTGCTAAGGACTTGTCTAAAACCAGGTTGCATGAGGAGGGGAAAGAGAAGGGTGGGGCTGTGAGTGTAAGGCCATTGTCTCTGCAGCAGAGGCTGCCCTCTAGGACTTGACCCCAAATTTCCTGCCTCTGAAGGATGCAGGAAGTTCTAGAGTGGTTTATTGGGTGAAGAGTGCTTAAACCCTGCTTTTGTTAAAGATTTTGAATGCAAAGAAGGGCCCCTGGGTGGAGCAGTTGGTTAAGCATCTCTTAGTTTGGGCTCAGGTTGTGATCTCAGGGTCTTAAAATAGAGTCCCTCATTGGGCTCCAAGCTCAGCAAGGAGTCTGCTAAAATTTCTCTTCCTCTCCCTTTGCCCCTCCCCATGCTCGCTCACTCTATCTCTAAAACAAATCTTTAAAAAAAAAAATGATTTCAAATGCAAAGAAATTGAACACAACTCTCTGAAAGGTTCTGAAGACATCAGGTCTTAGATAAGACAGGCACAACGTTAGTGGAACTCTGGAAGATTCCCCTTTATCTTTTTTTTTTTTTTAAGATTTTATTTATTTGGCACACAGAGACAGCGAGAGCAGGAACACAAGCAGGGGGAGTGGGAGAGGGAGAAGCAGGCCTCCCGCCCAGCAGGGAGCCCGATGTGGGGCTCGGTCCCAGGACCCTGGGATCGTGACCTGAGCCGAAGGCAGATGCTTAACGACTGAGCCACCCAGGCGCCCCTTCCCTTATCTTCTATGGCATCTAAGCAGTAGTCCTTTTTGTAGGCAGTTTCTGCATTTTACACTCTGCATACGGGGGAGAAAAACTCTGGAAAACTACTGTGTATGTTATCTATTCCCATGTAATAAGTCACCCCAAAACTTAGTGTAAAACAATAAATACTATCTCACATAATTTGAGGGTCAGGAATCTGGGAGTGGCTTAGCGGGGTGCTTCTGGCTCAGGGTTTCAGCTGTCCGCTGGGGCTGCAGTCTCTGGACTGCAGTAAGCGGTAAGCTCACTCACACAGTTGTTTGCAGGTTTCAGTCCCTTGGCACGGGAGCCACAGGGCTGCTCACGACAGGGCTTCCCTCCAAGTGTTCCAAGAGAGAGAAAGCCCAAGATGGAAGCCATAGTCTATAGCATCATCTGGGAAGTGACATACCATCACTCAGCTGTGTCCTATTGGCCACATGAACCAACCCCAGGACATTGTGGGAGGAAAATACAAGGATGGGAATACCAGGAGGGCAGGGATCTTTGCGGGGCCATCTTGGAGGCTGGCTACCACATATGGTTCTGAAATAAAAATTCTCATGCCTTTCTGAAACTCAGTAGAAAGTAATAAAGCATGTCAAGTCATCACCCACCTTCCCCCAAAAGACGTCACAAAATGCTCAGTTTACAGTTTTTGTGGTCATAACTAACATGCATATATCATGAAGCATGGGTTTGAGAAGAGGGAAAGAAGTCTCTGGAAGATGGTATTTTCATATTTTAGATAGTTCAGACTATAATGTAATAATAAAAACCAGTTCTTAAAGTTTTGAAGTGAGTCATAACCTTTTATCAAGGTTTTTATTAAAACTTGAAAGGAATTTTTCCCTTCACTACTATGTGAGTAGAAATTAATATATTTTTAGATCTGTCTTACAACATGTATTTTGTAATTTGAGTATATTTCGATCAAAGGCAGGTAGGTTTCTAATTGACCTGGTAAGGCAAAAGTGGGTAATAATCCCTACTGATAATTCCCTATCACTCTACATTTACAATTTAGAGGGCAAAATGATTAGAGAAAAAAATCCAAAAGATTCCAATGCCTCCAACTCTCAGGCAATGCTCCACTTAGAGGATCTAATTTGTAGTATGCCCACCCAAGAGGTCGCACCCTTTGTTGCCTAGGATATTCATGTTTAAAGCCATATAAGTGATTAATACTTTAATAAAAATGAGCCTTTCAAATCATTAGGGTAACAATCACTTCATAATCTCCCCAAACTCTCAAACACAGTCCTTTCTGGCCTTGGCAATTTAACCTGTCTACAGATCTCTTCTGCTACTTTATGAAGCCAAGAACATTTTGAATTGGCAGAGCTATTTTTCCAGAAGTTTTTGTTACTGACACACTTTCGTTATTACCCAGAATTCGTGCTTTATGCTGAGTTTAAAAAGTAATGTCCTTCTCCTTAGGTCCTCTGAGTTCCCGGGCAAAGCACAGGCTAAAATGCAAAGAACGGCCTTACCTTTGCAACCCTAATGCCGAAACGTTTTCTCCTCTAATTCTTTCCACATACTGTGTCGCAGGGAGAGGCGGAGAGAGTAAATCATATTGCTGAATGAAAACCAGGCCCTCAGAGACAAAACAGCCCTGTGTGGAAAGGAGACCACTTCCTGGGCTTCTCTGGACCCTGACGCCTCCCAAGTGCCCCTGGAGGTGGAGCTGACACCCACAAAAATGGGAGGCTACAGCCTATTCCAGGAAATGTGACACATAAGTCTTATAGTTTGAATTTGTATTGTTCACGTCTCTTGATTACCTTGAAATGAACAAACTGTAATTAAGAACTTTCAAAATACTAGGAGCATGTGTTTGTTGCACAAATTTCATATGGGACGAGGCCCAAAACAGAAAAGCCAGATTTCTGCTAACCAACCCCCTTGACCCCAATTCCTCTCCCAGAGGTAACCCAGCAAAGGAGCCTGGGAAAGGCACACAACTTTCCAGACCTTTTATTGAAAAAGACAAATAGTTTTACAGCATGCCATGCATTGTTGAACATTCTGCTTTTCCGTTTCGTGTGTGTTAGAGAGCAGTCCATACTACTGCACTGCAGCAGTATGACATTCTTTACAATTGCATAATGCTCTGTGGCGTGGACGCGCTGGGATTTACCCAGTCATCTCTTGATGCCCAGTGGCCAGCGCTGCTGTGAGCACCCTTGTGTGCACATCCTGCGCCACGTGCACAGATCCATAGAGGAGAGGCCCACAGGTTGACGTCCCCATGCACGCTCCATTTGCTTTAAAGCCCTCTCTGGACATGTCTTCCCTTTCTTCGATTTCAAGGTAATTAAACTGTTGCCAGTATAATGTTTTCTGCACAGTATCATTCATTTATCAGAGCAGACAATAAATCCAGAGATGACGGCATGTATACCATTGTCCACATCTTATAAATCCTCACATCTGCATCCATTTCAGCGCCCGGCCATGGCGGACACTTGATAAATGTTGGAGAGAGAAGGAGAAGCTAACTGGATACAGGAGGGATGAAACAAGTGTTCATAACCACAAGTTCCTAAAGCTAGAAATCAGGTCTTAACTTGGTTAGTGAATCAAGATTTAATTGGATCCCACCTTCTAGATATACCTTACATCTAGAAGCTGGGAAACGTCTTGGCAAATTTCTTAGTTTGGGCATAGCTGCGAGATGAATGAGGATTCTTACTTTACTATGGAAGTCTTCTAAAGGAATGGCATGAAGTGAACGGACAAAGAAAATGTACGATTCAAGACCAAATAGTCAGTTACAGGCACATTTGCATTCATCCGGGGTTTACAGCATTATAATGTAAAAACATACCAAATATACCCCCACCCTCTGCCCAGTGTCTACAGACCACGTTCTTGATGGGCAGCTAGACAAGTGAAGGATGGCTTCCTTTGGGCTTGGAGTGGAAGCACTTCCTCCAGGGAGCGGGGCAGGTGGCACTTCTGTCCCCGAAGGTCCAGAGGTGACTTGGCCCAGTTAAGTGCTGCTGGCTTTGAAAAGGAGCAGATGGAGGGGAGGGTGAGGCTGATCCCCTGAACCACTGCAAACGACTGGACAGGGGTTCTGTAGCTAAGGAAACAAACAGGACAAAGTCAGAAGTGGAAGACTCTTGGGGTAAAGCAATAGAAGCAGTTACAAATGAATTTGTCAATCTGTGCAAAGAGACTGATGATGCCTTTGAATTTCCAGAAGAACGGTGACATTTCATCCTTAAATCTCATTAACAAAGGACCAGGCTTAGTTTAACAGTATGACACACATTCATGTGTAAGAATAAATTGTCGGTGGATCCTTCTGTCAACAAATAGCCACAGAGCACACAAGGGCTGGGCCCTGTGCTCGGCACTCGGAATATATAGAACTGACCAAGAAAGAGCTGTGATGGCTATGGGAGGTGACTCTTCCCAGGAGTACCACACACAAGCCAGCAACTGCAGAGCTTTCCCCGACATCCCCATCTGTGATGCTGGCTTGGGCCCTCTGCCTGCTTTGGTCAGTCAAGTCACCGTGTTCTCCGGTGCCCCCTGACCAGCCTGGGCCCACCTCCTCGCCCTCCTGCCGTGGCCTACCAGAAAC